GGTGTCGGTGTCCGAGCCCCGGGCTGGGGCTTTGTGCAGCGGGACGGGGCGCGGACACCCAGCCCCTGCTGCCCCCCTGCCACCACCTCTGTGCTCAGGGATCTCGCTGTCCCTCCCTCTGCCGTGTCACCTTGTCCCCAGCGCCCATCCCAGCCCCACAGAGAGCTCTGGCACCAGACCGTGCCCAGCAGGAGCGAGGCCGAGCGGGTCCCAGCCCAGGCGCAGTCCCAGCCCCGCTCCCGGCCACGGCCAGGCTGCGGGGCCCTTCTCCTCTCCGTGCCCTGCTCCAGGCGGGGTTGGCGTTTCGATGGAAGGAGGGATGCTCGGGGGAGACAAATCCTTGCTCTGGGAAGCACATCAAGGGGGTCACGCTGTACAGGGGCGAAGAGGGAGCGGGCAGGGGGCTTTACTTGGTGCCCTCGTCTGGGTTGCCTTCGCCGTCCGTCTTCCCTTCCTCCTCCGTCTTCTGGTCGTCCGTGTTCAGCCTCTGCTGCTTTTTCCGGCGCACGCACTTCACCACCATCAGCACGAGGATGACCACAGCCAGGAAGCCACCCACAGAGGCGCCCACGATGACGGCCACCGTCGAGTCACGCTTCGGGGGCTCTGGGGAGACAGAGCAGGGTCAGCCCACACAGCCCCAACCCCCTGAGGCAACCACGAGGCAGGGGCAGGGCTGGAGGCAGGGCCGGGAGCCAGCCCAGCACCCTTGGGTGCCTGCCCGGAGAGGGGACCGCTCCCCACCGACCTTTGGTGAGCACCTTGAGGCTGATGCTGGCGTGGCCCCGCTGCCGGTCGGGGGGGTTGAGGACGTAGCAGTTGTAGGTGCCCTCGTCCTCCAGCTGCACGTTGTTGAGGGTGAAGGACACGTCGTACTTGGTGGGGTTCCCGGTGAACTCCACACGGTTCCCGAAGCGGTCCAGCTGCTTGTTCATGATCTTCGTCCGGAACTGCAGGAACTGGGCAGCGGGCACGGGGAGGGCTTGGGGCACTGCTCAGCACCACGAGCACTCACCCCCCGCACCCCCCAGCCGGGCACCCCCCTCCCTGCTCACACTGCACCCCGCTCCCCCCAGGGCGTGCTGGCTGCCGTTCAGCAGGAGCACGCGTCTGGAGGGGGCTCACGACCCCAAGAGGGTCCCGGGACCCCTCAGCCCATCCCCAGCCCCGGAGGGACTCACCAGCTCCTCAGAGCAGTTCTTGCACTCCTGGTACGTCCAGTTGAGGGAGAACTGCTTGTTCTCCACCTTGTAGCAGGAGTTGAAGGTGCAGGAGAGCTTCACGGAGGTGCCGTTCAGGGCGTTGATGGTGGCAGGAGCCATCACCTCCATGCCCAGGGCCGGGGGCACTGCCGCAGGCGTGGGGAACAGGAGCAGAGATGTGGAGGAGTTAACCTGGGCCACAAATATCCACCTCCCCACCCCACCCTGCACAGGGCCGGCAGCACAGGGCTCGCCCTGGAGCCCTTCAGGCCCTCCTGGGTGCTGTGCCCAGCCAGGAGAAGGCTTCCTGGGGACAACAGGGGGGCAGCCCCGGCGCTGGCACCGTCCCTCGGTGCTGGCTGTGCCAGGCTGTGTGAGGGCTGATGGCACCAGCGCTAGATTCTAAATTGTGCTGACTCCAAGCCCAGCCTGCTCCTCGCTGCCTGAACGAGGCTGAGCTGCCGCAGGCTCGGCAGCGCTGTGCAGGGGCTGGATGCAGCATCAGCACCGGGGCTCGGCGCCACGGCTGCTGGGAGATTTATGGCTGTGCTCACCGCCTTGCCTCCCTCCAGCAGCCGGGGCTGGCTCCTGGGGGGCTGCAGGGCTCCCCCAGCCCACCCCGTGGGGCTCAAGCAGGGCTTCTCCAGCTGGGTCGAGCCCTCAGCCCCTGCTGGCGGGGGGCACGAGGCGGTCCCTGCAGCGCGGCCTCGCTGCAGCACAGAAACTGGGTCAGTGCCTGGTGCCGCTGTGCCCCGCTGCCCTCTCCCACCCCTTCCCTGCAGCTCCCCGCATCGCCAGCCGCCCCCAGGCAGCACCCAGAGCTCTGCCCACGGAGCCAGGCCCCAGGCAGCCACCAAGCCCTGATGTTACACCTGCAGGAAGGGGGCAGAGAGCCCTGCGGGCAGCTGGGATGGGCGAGGGGGCTGTGGCACCCCCGCGGCACCCCACGGGGCAGGGGGATGCCAGCAGCAGCTGTTCAGATCACCTCACCTCTGCCCTTCGCTCTCAAACCTTCCTCCCGAGGTGCTCCTGCTTCCCAAGAATCTTCTCCAGGTTGCAGGTTTGGCTGCTTCAAGCCACGGGTCTCGCTGCGGGATGGGAGCCGGGGGCATCCCCACGCCCCCTGCGATTGCAGGTGCCCAGCCCCGCTGCCTGGGCACAGCTGGGGCACCTTCCAGCAATCCTCGCAGCCATGGGAGAGAAGATCTGGGCTTCTGCCTGGGCCAGGTGCCCCCCCGCAGACCCAGCCCCACAGATTGGGGTTGGAGGGGTCTCTGCGTGGCCCTGCTGAGTGCCCTGCAGCCCCTGTGCTCCCCTGAGCTCTGGCTTGGTGCTGGGTGCCCCAGAGCTCCGCAGGGGGCTGAGATGGCAGCGGGAGCTCAGTGGGGATCCCAGGCTCTGCAGTGCCAGCAGGGGCTGTGCTCGGGCGCGGGGCACTGCTGGGCCACAGCCGGGGGTCCTCGCGGGGTCCCGCCCATGCCCTGGGAGTGCTGATGTGTGGGGATCCCATCTCTGGGACCCGGGGAACCCCAAAATAAATGGTGAAAGAAATCCCTAGGGACCGACTGCCCAGGCTGTGCCCTGTGCAGCCCCAAAAGCTGTCACACTACACCCTGCTCCCCGCAGCCTCTCTGGGTGTTTTACTCCCCATTCCCTCTCCATCCCCCAAAGCCAAAGCAGCCCAGCAGCAGCCCAGCAGCAGCTCCAGGCCGGGGCGAGCAGCGCTTCCAGGAGGTGCTGCATCCCTGCGCCCCGATCGATCCGGCCCCAAAGCTGCTGACACACGCTCCTGGCTGCGGGGCCGGGCGGCACGCAGGGCACAGAGCCCGCGGCTCCCCCTGCACACAGGCACCCAGCACCAAACCGAGGGATGGCCGCAGCCCCCCGCCACCCAGCCAAAACCCAGAAATGCCCCTCTCCCCCTGCAAAACCAGCCCTGTGCGTGGGGGAACCTGGAGCAAGAGGGATGCACGGATTTGGATGGGGATGGTGCCGCTGCGGGGTGCCCCCCACCCTGCCAGCAGCAGCTTGGGCATCCCACCTCCACCCCATCCCTTCCCCAGGGGCAGAAGGGGCTGGCAGGGTTTGGGGAGGGGGCTTCTCCCCCACCTGGGTGCTGTCCCCTGGCAGCCGGGCGCATGCAGGGCTCGGGTCGGCACTTACCCAGCGCGAGCAGCAAGCTGAGGCCAGCGAGGTACCGGGCGGGCTGCGGGAGCCAGGCTTCCGGGCTCATTTTTGGAAGGAGCTGAGGTGTGTGGCGAGGGCTGGGGGGTGGTGGTTGGGGTGCTTGCCGGGGGCATAGGAGGCGAGAGCTGCCCCTATCCCCGCAACATGGCCGCGGAGCGGCGCGGGGCTGCGAGGAGCGCTAAATGCTGTGGTTGGCGGATCGCGGCGCAGCAAGCGGGAGGGCAGGAAAATTCTCCCTGAGCGGGAGGCAGACGCTGCCCCAGCGAGATGCTGCCCCCCGAATGCAGGGTCAGGCCCTGGCGTGGGGCTGAGGGGCTTGGTGCCCCCCTTGCTGGGATCAAACAGCCCCTCAGCACCGTGCAGGGGGTGGCTGAGGAGCAGGTTTGTGCTGGGATTCCCTCTTGGCAGAGCGAGAGCACGCTCAGGGCTCCTCTTCCCCTAGGGGAAGTGCCCCAGGCATTGCCCCATGGCACAAACCTCGCCACGGAGGCTCCTGTGAGCCCCTGCAGCCCCCCCTACCCCTGGGGCCAAGCACTGCATCGCTCCTGGCCAGCCAGAGGCTGGTGACCCCGCAGCAGGTCCCCCTCCTCAGAGCCCAGCTGGGCCCAGGGACCCCAGAAAGGCTCCCCCGGAGCCAGGCAGAGAGCAGAGGGACTGGGCTGGCCCCAACAGAGCAGAGGATCCCGAAGAGCCCAGGCAGCACACCTCAGGGGAAGCACTCCAAGCCTGGGTCGAGGCTGCTGAGAACAGCGCGAGGAGCCCACACGTGGTCTCACGGGGAGCAGAGTGCTGGGGCCAGCAGCCCCTCGGCCACCCAGACCTGGTGCCGGGGGCCGCAGGACAGCGAGCTTTGCTGGGGCAACACCAGCGAGGAGAAAGGTGAGGGATGCCCCAGGGCCTGAGCACATCAGGAGCACATGGGGGACCTGGGGAGGGAGGGGGGGGGCAAGGGGGAGGCTGGAGGGGTGCAGAGGGGCTGTGCATGCAGGAGGGGAAACCCCCGGGGTGAACACAGCCAGTGCTGAGCAGACACACGGCATGCACACAGCGCAGTCTCCCAGCCCTGTGGGACAGGCAGAGCCCGCTGGAAGGGGTCCCACCTCCTTGCGAAGGCAGCGGGGGGTCACAGGGCACCCCCAGCACCCCAAAACCAGCCCCGTTGGCCGGTTCCTCCTGCGCCCCAGGCTGCTCAGGGACCAGGCAGGGAAAAGCGAGCAGGGAGTCGACGTGAACCAAGGAGTGCAGCGCGGCGCTGCAGTGTGCCATGCACGGGGCCGGGAGGGGGGCCCCGCCGCAGCGCTGCACCTGCGGCTGTCACACAGCTATTTTAGGGACAGGGCCGCCACCAGCACATGCCAAAACCGCAGCCCCGGAGGCCCCTGAGGGGTTCCTGGACTCACCGGGGGTGTGCTGCGAGCAGAGGAGTGCGCAGGGGATGGGTGAGTGGGATGCAGGGGGGGGGAATCCCGCTCCTCTCCATCCCTTGCAGAGCAGGGGGGCTCGGGACAGCTCAGGCAGCCCCCTCGTGCTGCAGAGGGACCCCCTGCTCAGCCCATTTCACCTTACTGCTCCCCCAGCCAGGCAGGGTTTGGCACACTTGAGCACCACACGTTTAAGCAGGAGGTTAAAGGAAGCCAGGAAGAGGGAAGATCTCCCCGGCCTCGCTGAGTTTTATTGTTTTCAGAAGATACCCCTGGCACGGCTCCCGCTGCCTCTCCCCCTCCCTTCCCCACCAGGCTCTCCTCGAGTTCATTATCTCTGGTCCCGGAGCAGCACGGGCTGGGATCAAAGCTGCAGAGTGAAGGCTGTGCCCTCCTGTCCCCCTCCAGATAGAAGAAGGAGGGAGAAACACAGCTCCCTGGGTCCCGCTGCAGATAACGGGGACAGGACAAGCCCCAGCAGCAGCTCCGGCACGGAGATAAGAGCGAAGCAGCGACACTGCTCAGAGGAAGGGCTGACAGCAGCACAACGCTGGCCCACCACAGGAACAAAGATGTCTTGAGCACACAGCCGGTTAAGGAGCTTACGTCCCCCAGCACGGTTATTTCTCGCTCTCTGGGGGACAGGGAAGGGCCTCCTGTGGTCTGCTGTAGGGGTCCTCGCTTGGTCTCTCATCCCATCTGCCCTCTTCCATCCACTCTGCCGGGATCACCCTCCTGGCCAGCTCCACGTAGATGCCGTTCTCACGGAAGAAAGAGGGGTGCTGCAAGGAGACAGGCTGTGAGCCCCTCGCAGGCATCAGGGCCCCTTTGGAGCGGGTGGGGACGAGGGATGCTGCTGGAAGGTCAGGTCTAGGCAAGACCACACCGGAGGGGAAAGACCCTACAGCTGCAGGAATCCCCTGCCCGTGCCTGCTGCAGTTTGGGGCAGCTGCTCCCCGCTCACCATGGTTATGTAGGTCTCCTCAGCTTTCTTCTTCTTCTTTGCGTCCTGTTCAGCCTTGGGTGCCTCAGCTCCGGGCATTGAGCAGTAAATCCCTTCCTGTGAGGGGAGAGCAGGATGAGAGCCTTCCAACCCCACATTTGGTCAGTGCCAACAGCCGCAGCACCTCACCATCAGCCAGCACAGGATTCAATCCCACAGCACCCACCCCAGGTCAGCAGCACCCTGAGGACACGCAGCCGTGGCTGCTCAGGAGGCAAGCTGCAGCCATCCCGTGGGAGGACAAACCTGTCCCCAGCCCCAGGGAACGCTGCAGGAGCACCAACTCACCCTGCATCAGTGCCTGCCCCAAACTGGGTCCCGAACCGAGTGGTGTCACCTCAGCAGGGAGCCTCGGTGGCCTCACGGGGGACAGCCTGAGCCCCTGCCTCGCAGTGCTGGCTGCCCCATCCCTCCCCTTCTCTTTGGCACCCAGCAGGTGTGCAGGAGCCCCCAGCAGGGCAGGAGAGCTGTGCTCCCCCCACCTTGGCTCTGCCTGAGCTCTCACCTTGGCTTTGTCCTTGCTGCCCTCATTTCTGCTCCTCTCCAGGGCCGTGTTGGCTGCAGACCTTGAGGGAAAGCAACACTGGTGTCACCTCCAGCAGGACACATCACCTGCTCCTGCTGTCCTTGGTCCCCCCTCTGCTAGGACATCCCTTCAGATGCACCTTGGCCAGGCCATCCCTGCTGCTGCCAGCTGAGGCTGGCTTCCACAGGGAGCTCATCACACTTTGCTCCTGTCCCACAGACCCACAGTGCCCCAAATGCCCAAAGCTGCCCCCCACCAAGAAGGGCGCAGGCTCTGCCAGCAGCAGAGAGCCCGGGAGCTTTGGGAGCAAAGGGGAGACCGGGCAGGGCAGCGTGACACTAGAGGGCAGCAGGAGCCCACACCCTGCTTCGGGGGCAGGAGCACCCAGCGGGTGCTTCCCCGCGGCTCCAGCAGGTCAGGGTGGTGCCTGGCCAGGGAGAACTCTGCAGGAGGGACACAAGGAGGTGCTCTGCTCAGCCCCATAAACCCAAAGCTGATATCGGTACCTCTTCCTCAGGGTGCGTCCTGCCAGGAATGCCAACACCACGGCCACAGAGCCACAGCCCACAGTCACAGCCCAAAGCCCGCTGTCTCCCAGGACCGCAGAGCTCTGGGCACTCGTTGCTTCTTGACCTGCTGGGGAGACACCAAGGCAGGGGCTGGTACCCGCAGGGATCGGGCACTACTACGTAAGAACCCTGGTGGCAGCTCTGGAAGGCTTTCTGAGGGGTCTGAAGGGTGAGAAGTGAGGGGAGGCAGTGTGGGACATGTACCTGTCCGTGCCATGGGGCTGATTTGCAGCACCGTGTGGTTCTTGAAGATGCTGCTGTGCTGCAGCAGCCGCATCTCACACAGGTACCTGCCGCTGTCGTTCACCTGCACGCCCCGCAGCTGGATGGAGCCGTCCCAGCGGGAGATGTCCCCCTGCCACTGCACCCGGTCCCGGTAGCGGCCCACGGAGATGCTGCAGTTGCTGTAGTAATAAAACACCATCTCCTCCTGCCGGGACACACAGAGCTTCAGGTGAACGGAGCCCAGGGGACACGGCCCTGCCCTGCATTCATGCCCTGCTCCACAGCAGGGGCTGCAGCCTCTCCCTCTCCCCCCGTGCAGCACAAGAGCACAGCTCACACCCACACCCTCCTGGAAAGCCCCTGACACAGCACCCAGTGCCAGGGTTCCCCAGCAGCACGCAGCTGGGGAACTTTCCTTCCGTGGCAGCCAGGGCCAGGCAGCTTCCCCAAAGCCTCCCGAGAGCAGCAGGGCTGCTTCACTCCCCCTCCCCTGCCGCCTGCCCCCCACCAGCCCCCTGGTCCTGACCCACCTTCTGTGCGCCCGTTCCCGGCACGTGCAGCCAGTCCACCTTCACCATCGTCCAGCTCTCGTCTGCCACATCTCGGAGGAGGCACTGCAGCAGGACAGAGTCCCCAGCGCCGGCTCGAAGCTGAGGCTGTGTGAACACCCAGCCAGCCGAGCCGCTGCATCTCTCTGCCAGGCACAAGGACAGCAGGATGAGGCCGGGGAGGACAGCCAGGTGCAGCCCGCCTGTCCCCATAGGCGTCTCCTCTCCAGACAAACGCGGGGCGAGTGGCACTGAGCAGCCCGGAGCACAGCAGGGAGCCTCTCCCTGCGGCCAAAGCCTCTCCCTGACCCCTGCTTCTGGCGTGCCTGGGATGTGGGGCAGCACATCCTCCCAGCCACCAGACACCGAGGGCTGCTGCGCTCACTCAACAAGCCTCATCGAAGGGAAGTGGGGAAGGCACCTCAGAACTCGTCGCTCAACCCCAGCCCTCTGCGTGCCGGAGCCGAAGGCTGCAGCTCCTGCATGGCCGCTCCTGTGAGTCACTGGCTGGGAGAACCAGTGCCACTCTCATCTACAAGAGGCCAGGGGCAACTCAACCCCTTCACATGAATTTCAGTTCCTCCTTTCACAACCTGCCCATTTGGCTTCCTCACCTCTTGCTCACAAGGCTCCTGGCCTCGGCTTGAATGCATCTGGCCACATAAATACCACTAAGGGTTTCTAGAGAAGTGGGGCAGTGGAAAACCAAACCAAAACAGACCAAAACAAAACAGAGGAACATCAGAAAGCACAGAGCTGACAAAAGCAGCATGAAGAAGTTGCTGTCATGGGGTGTGGGGGGGCATAAAATATGTGTTAGGAATGGGAAAGAAGCAGGGCAGAAAAGGCGCCGTAAGTTTGTCCTGAGAAAGCCTCCGTGCCCCCAAGTCTGTGAGATGAAAATGGCAACAGAGAGGCACCTGCTTGGCAAGACGGGGCAGAGCAGAGCTGTGGCAATGCTGCAGGAGGGAAGCACTACCAGCTGCAAGAGAGAGAAACAGAGCAGAACGCAGCGAGAAGAGCAGCTGGGTCTCTACCACTCGTTTGCCCAGGACTAGGTGAGCTGGTTCAGCTGGGAGCCACGCAGGCAGGTACGTTTTACCTGGTGCCTTAGCCACTCTGCTCAGTCCTTCCACGAGCCACCAAGGGCTGGGCCCTGGCAAAGCACCAAGTACTTGTCTGATGCCCTGTAAATAATAAATGCAAAGTGCTACAGCTCCCCAAACTGGTTTCTTTGGGCCTTGACCAGCTGTGGAGCCAAATATGAGCAATATTTGCCAGCAGCAGAGACCAAGCGAGCCAGTTGCCTTGAGCAGAGCCAAAATCAATAGCTTGGAAACCTTTCCCTGTACTTATGCTTGGTAAAGCTGCTTTACTTCTTCCAAAGCCTTGGAGCCTCTTAGAGTAAATACAGGCCTCCACGCAGGGATGTTGGATGCTGTTGCAATTCCAAGCCTATATATATCTGGGAGCTGTGCAGGAAGGAAACACGCAGCACACAGACACCAGGGAAGTTATTGCTATGCTTCATGTTCCCAGCCCTGTGTACCTGCAAAGCCCCAAGAGGTTCTCACAGCAGAAAGAGAGGACACACGAGGTCTTTCAGCAAAGGAAAGCAGGCCAGGTAGATAAGGCCACCAGAAGGACTTAGAGCTTACCCAGCAACGCCAGCACCAGAGCCAGGCTCAACATCACCTTCATCTTATTCCAAGCGGAGCAGCGGAGGTGACACATGCGCCAGAGTCCCCTCAGGAAGGACACCAACTGCTTGCAGCTGAGCTGGACCCCAGGGTTAGTACAAGACCCTCTATTTCTTCAGAGCTGGACACAATCTTTGCTCCCCTGGATGTTCAGCTTCTGAGTTAGCCACCGTCCCAGCTAGGAGCCTACGATTCAGTGAAGCACAGCTGTCAGATGTGTCTGCTTTGAGACTGCTCCGAGCCCTAGAAAGGAAGGCAGAGAGAGACCGGGGGAGGGCTCAGCCTGAAATACCTTTGCATTTCCCCTATCTTATGTATCTTTCCGGTGGTTTGGGGGTCGAGACCCAGCATCTCAACTGAGATCTTCGTGATGTTAACTGCTGAAAAAACAATGGGATGGTTTTTTTCTCCTACAGACTCAGACAAGTTTGAATACGGATCCTAAAATCACAAGCCCCCTGCCCTAGAAATAACCTCCTTGCTCCAGGGCGCTGCACATGGTGAGTTCTGCTAGAACCTTTTGGGGTCTACCCAAATTATGCCATATTTTGCTACTGTTCGGTTTGACCTGCTGCGTGTCCCTCCATATCGTTGGTGCCTCCTTTCTATGCCATGCAGACATCCTGCGGCCTGAGGAACGTGCCAGCCGGTGTTAACGCATGGATCACAGGCAGGTAAGAGCCAGAACCCTGCTGCTCGTTGTGTCTCTGCTGCATGATTCAAAGCTAAGCCTGTTCAAAACTGGTAAACATAGTTAAGGGGGAAAAGTTACTGAGAAAACCCCTCCAGCCTGGAGAGCCAGCACTTGCAACTCTTTGACCTTAGGCCGCCATTACCCGTGTACGTTTTTCAATACAGGCACATCTGCTGCAGGAATAAAACCAAGAAGAGATGAATCATATCTGAAATCTCATTAGCTTCTCTCATTTTTCTTCCACCATGAAAGCCCTCTAGATCAGAGACCACCTTCGCTAAAGCTTGGATTTGGGAAGGGTCCCAGCTGCTCGCCCCAAGAATCCATCCAGAGGTGTCAGAGGAAATACGTAAGGCGAACACCCGACATTTCTCCTACCACCCCGAGATCCACTGCTCCCTTCAGAGCTGCGGAGCAGAAAGCCCCAGCCACGGCCCTGCAGCTGGGGGCACCAAGCTTCTGGAGGCAGCACCTAAACCCCTGCCCTCCCTACGGAACCGAGAGTGAAAATAGCACCGCATGCAAATGGCTGGCAGGGGCTGCGGGGCGGCGAGGGGGCCGTGCCAGCCCCGTGCAGCAGCACAGCAGCGCACACAGATCAGCAAGAGTGAGCAGGGAGCAGCCAACGCCTCCGCCCTGCCACTGCTGATCCCCTGCTAAACCTTCCGTCTCTTTTCATGGCCAGACTTGTTTCCCTACCTCCTTTTTTCTTTCTAAATACATTTTTCTCAGTGAAGGAAGCTCAGAAACACTTTTACAGGCTCAGACAGGATTGGAGGCCCCGAGTTAGCTGCATGGGTCAAACAGTCACGAAGGCTCTGCAGGCAGCACATGGCATCGCTGCCTACAGTCAGTGATGCAAAACCACCTCAGCTTGTCACCATCCTCCCCTTCCAGAAAAAAAATCCCTAAAAGTGGCAGCAAGCCTCCTGTAATTCTCTCAGATGTGCCGTGCAAAACCCATGACCTGTTTGGGGGCTGGGTTTTGTGGAGGTGGAGGGGAGAGAGTTGTGTGGTTTGACTGTGCTGTTTGCATTTCTGCCAAGACACAATTTGCTGCATAACCCTTGTGCACACATGACCTACAAACACTGCACGATTCATGCTCAGCTCATGCACTGTGCCTCAGCGCAGCAGGCCCGAGCAGCCTACTTTCCTCCTCTTGTTTGCTCAGCAATGCTACCAAAAGCCTTAGAACTGCAGCAGAGATACGCTTCCCCAGGACCACCCCCAATCCAGGAATTCAAACTGCACCGAGCTTTGTAAATCCCTCAGTACACAGAAGCCTGCGTGCAGGATTTGTACGCTCAGAAATTCAAAGGTTTTCTGTTGCCGAGTTACTGAAGCTCCGGTTCCTATTCGCCATCAAGTCCTTCCTGGACTTCTTACCCTATTTCTCAGAATAAATTCTGGTCCTGCCTTGGAACACGCTTTTGCAGGCTCTCCCTGTGCGTGCACCAGCTGAAGGCAGCACCCAGCAACCCAGGCTGTTACGTATATTACAATGCTGACATACCCAAAACCCTCCGCAGGATCACAGACTTTTCTAAATGGATTGAAGAAGAAAGGCGTAGGTACCACACTGCCTTCACATCTCCCTACTTAGGATCTGAATTCTGAGTACTTCTATGTCTCCCTAATCTTTTCAGGAAAAAGAAACAAAATCATGTAAATACTAGAGCAAAAAATTACTCACCCGGTGTGTTTTGGGGCAGTCAACTTGTCTCTTGCACAAAGGGCTCTTCGGTGACTTATTTGGGGCCTCTGAATTAATCAGATGCTAAATGGTCTTGATGTTGTGCGTGCAAGATATGGAAAACGTAACAGCCTTTGGTTTCGTGTCTCTTATTTAAGTTCAGTTTGGTGGTCACTTTTAAGTCGCAAGAGGAAGTTGAGGACTACATCGAGGGTACTGACAAATCACAAGGCAGAAGGTACTGCTAGAGAGGCGAGCAGAATGGCAGATGCATTTGCCTGGGAGCACACGGTGGGAATGCAGCTTCGGAAGAAGACAGTCCAGATACAAGACGTGGCTGGGTCCCACTCCTTTCGCCACAGCAGGCCGAGCCATCAGTCGTTACGTGAGAAGTCAAGAACAAAGAAATCCTTGGCAAGCAACCCTTTCACAGCCTGTGCTCTCTCCTGGCTTTCTCTTTGGGAATCCAGTTGAAGAACAAGCAGCGCAGCACCTCATCAGTCCCACAGGCTGGGTCTTGTCCTGGTGAGGTATCACCAGGAAGCAACATCAGCTCTGCTGGGCATTACTGCCAGTAGTGGCAGGGGCAGAGATAAGCACGCATCTTACTGCCTAAAGAGCCACTGCCAGGATGCTTTTCACATCATGGCCAGCTTCTCCGCTTTGAAACACAGGCAGGACACACAGCACAGGCTGCTATCTGCTTACACCCCCTCCTCAGTCACTCTGAAAGCTTATTTTCATCCTTCCTTTCCTATGGAGTACCACAGCAGGCACTGTTCACTACCCTAGCAGCAGGGGTACACAGAGAAACTTTTCTCTCAGCAAGCAAAGGAAAGAGAGAGAAATTTTATCCATGCTCAAAACCCTTTATGATCCAGAACACAGTTAGCTTCAAGGTAGCAATTCCGCTTTGCACCAGGAAGATTTGCCCAGGATTTAGCCCACTCTTTGCAAAGAGTGGAAGGCACATCTGGAAAAGAAGTTATTCACTTCCATGGGGAACTGTCTGATGTACTAGGGCTGAAAGTGGAACAAGAAAGCCACTTCCTCTAGGCTACACATCCCACCAACATCCTTTCTCAGGATAGTTCGAGTTGTAGAAACATGGTGTCATCACAAAGCACAACCTTTTTACATATTACTTTATTGTAGACAGGAGAACAATCAGTTTCTTTATCTGAAGAAGCAGATCTACAGCTAACCTGCTTGGCAGGCAGGAACTCCACACCTGCCATCAGCAGCCAGCACTGAGCTGCTGAAGGGGGGCTCAGTACGCCTTTTCCCACCATCCCATGGCAGTTTTTATAGCTAAGCAAGAACACAGGATGGACATTTTACACGTTCAACTATATCCACCTGTACTCAGCCAAATAAAGTCTAGGATAAAGCAGTGCAATTTATTGGCAACGGCACATAAAAGCCTCCAGTAAACTTGTAACGTATGGAAGAAGACAATTTGATCGATGCCACACACCAAAAGGAAGCAAAAACCAGCAGCTCTTTAGGTATCAGAACAGAGCTGTGAGAGCCCCCCAGAGTACTGCACCCAGACTGTGGAGCCCCCAGCACAAGAAAGATGTGGATCTGTTGGAGGAGGGCCAAAAAAGATGATCAGAGGGCTGGAGCACCTCTCCTGTGAAGAACACAATTCTATGAATTCCACTGCTCCCTGCTATTGGGCAAGGTTGGTGGTAGAGAAAGTACGCTGTTTTTTACAGGGCAGTATTGACACATGTTTAACTGTTTCCCAAAAATCAACCATTTCACTAGAAGAGAGGAGGAACAAGACAGTTCTTCTGAACACGGAACATTCCTTGGCACAATTCCTTGAGTCAGTACTTGAGGTAGATAGGGTTACATTTCCACAGACACTAAGTCCTCATTTGCATTTCTGATTTTAAAAAATAAGTTGTATGTGAATTGTGCTTCATGTCTGCAAGTAGGAGATGTACCCAGTAATGCAGCTGTTCAAGTAAAAAGATAAAGCTCAACAATATAAGGTAACACTGCTGTGCAGATGGCAACTTAAAGTAAGAAGACACTAGGAACAAAATGGTGATCCTGCAATTAAGTGGTAGATCAAGCCAAGAAACAATTAAAAACCAGTAGGTTCTCTTTGCTCCAAGACAAAGGATGCCATATACCAACTCAATCAGGCTGTTCTAAGTCCTTTGCCACTATGTTGTAACAAAAATGAGAAGAATACGTTGTCAGTGCTTGACGATGAACTTAGAGAGCCAATGTGTCACTCTGGAGTAGTCTGCTCTTCAGGCAGGTTGAATTCAAGGGTGCAGGAAAGGAGGGATATCACCAACCACAGAGGAAACAAATTAGAAAGTAAACTAAGAGACGAACACTGTCAGACTGCTGGTGGGAAACAGGCTGCACAGCTGTAGGCACCGAGGTTTCTGTAGGCACTGGAGAAGGGAGGTTTCAGGAGAATTCCCCCCGCCACCCAATAAATTAGAAAGAAGCTCAAAATAATGATTTTTGAAATAGGTAAGAGTGAATTATCCCATCAGCATTATTATTCCAATATACCAAGATGAGAACGGGTCCTTCAATCCGCATTGGTTATCCAGCAGCCTTTGTATTTTCTAGCCAAGATTTTCAGCATTGTAATTTTGTTCTTTATCCATAAATTTGATCTCTCATCAGTATGGCTCTTCCTCATCCGTGTCCTGAAGAGAGAGTATGAAGAGAGAAATTGAGACTACGTACAAAGACATGAAACAAGTAATGAATTTGACAAAAAAAAAATTAAGTCTGGTAGGCTTCAGACAAGAGCATAAATGCTTTCCAAATTGCTGGTGTGCTTCAACAAATTAGAACTGGTAGTTATATAAACACTTGTAGCTAAGTCTGGTTGACTTACCACAGACACAGACAAATTGCCACTGGATAATCAACACATGTGATCTGTTTTAGAAGAGGTAGGAGCTAAAACTTAAGCAAAAGACAAAGTGCAGAAAGATGTCTTCTTAAAATGCACCCCTAACTCCTGCAGAGCAGATCCAGAGCAGCACAAGCTGTTGGGTGTTTCAGCTCTGAACAGCCCTATACTCTCAGATCCCCATCATCTATTGTTCTAACCACAGTAATGATTTGATGGCATCCTCACAACCCAGCTCTGCAGCTCTCAGTTTGCAAGATGCTCAAACATAAAGCCCTACATGGGAAATCTTACCAATTTTGCAGTAATCTTAATTATGAGCAATTTTTCATCAACATTGCAATTTTAACTATTTGGTAAAGTATTAAGCGTGAGAAAGTGTTTTACAGAAACCTCAAAAAGTAGACTCCAGAAACCTCAAAAAGTAGACTCCCTATAGTGAGTGAGATGGTGTTCAGAGAGTTGTTAAGATGAGTATCAGAACAAAGTATCAAACCAATGCCAAATTACTCAACATGAAAGCACCACAACTACGTTCAAGTTTGCCTGCTCTCAAAGGATGAGAAGACATTTTTCAACCTTCACAATCTCCATCTACTAGCACGTCTCACTGTATCTGAGGTCCCATCTTTTCCCAATCTCTCCATTTGCACCACAGCAAAGGTACCTCCCCGCTCCCCAGCACGTCACTTGCAACAGCCTTCCCACCTCCCTTTGCAGCCCTCCCCTTTGAATAAAGCATTTTCTGCTTCCTGCATCTCTCAAAACTCGTTGCCAACACTGCTGCTCCGTAACTGCTGTAAAGAATTATAAATATTTCATACATAAATTGTATATTTGCTCATTCTACATCTATTAAAGTGTAGAAACAACCAGCACGCATCAGTCTGAAAGCTCACACATTTACTGCATTTTAAACCACTGGCATTACAACAGTGAATCAAGCAATACGTTTAAATCCTCCTTAACATACTTCCTGGCTGCGTATAGACGATGTAAAGCTGCATCTGTGGTAAGTTTGCTCTGTAGGACACCAGGTTCAAAAACAAAACCACTCTCCAAGCAGGCATATTAGTGAGCTTACTCTGGAATGTGTCACACTTAGTGTTGGGGCTGCTAAAGCCAGCACACACACCTCAGACGTATGTTTTGCAAAATAAATACAGCAGATGGCAAACATTCAGTAGTTCCAGCACAACACATCAGATTAACAGAGGCTTGTTGTTAGGGTATAGCAAGTGAACAGAATTAGAGGACACCACCCATTTCATGAAGCAAACAAACTGAACACCCCACAAAAACAAACACGAAACCCACAAGAGTTCAGCAGGACTCTGTTGTGACCAATGCGTTCTAAGAAGGGAGACCTCTAAGAAAGTCAAGGCAGCACGCTACCATCTGCACAGAAACAGGGTAAAGAAGCGTGCCTGCCTCCACACCTCACCATAGCCCTGCCAGACCCCAAACTGGTTATGTAGAGCCTTTATAGAAGCTACACAGTATAGCGGTTAGCACTTAAAATTCTTAATATTTGTATTGAAATGTCAGCTTCCATTTAAAATCAAAAGAAAAGAAAAAAAAAATCAGTTTGGGGGATCTCGGGACAGCTCCCACTGCCAGTAATGCACCCTGACCAGCAGTTCTTATCCCCGATAGCCAAAATGTGGAAATCACCATGGAGCATAAGCATAGCCAACTGGGACTGTTCTCCAAAGCCCAGAGAAATTATCAACAGCTCTGTTTGCTGCTCGTGCACCTCCTCTGAGCGCTGATCTTGACAAAACCACTTATGAAAATAGCAACTTTCACTTACCACACAGTTCAAACACCAAGCTTTCAGTCTCCCTGAGCAGGTGTCTGTGTGTTCAGACCTGGAGAACAAACATAGGATGAAGATGGACTTTTCCCCACCACCACACACTAATATTTCCTATGGACTATGAATTCTACTTCTCCCACACTGCCTTGTGGCTCTGCATAACAAACCTCCAAAGAATTGAGAGTGTCAGGTCTCTTTTTTCAAAAGCAGACATTTCATATAACAAGTGCCATGAAGAATGTAAGAGGTGCTTTTTGGCTGGAAAATCTTACCACAATAAATCAAAACGTTGTATTAAAAGTCCAGTCCTAAAATTTAGCACAGAATGAATTGTTTGCAAAACCAGGTGTAACTCCAGCAGTTTACTGCTCTCACTACAATAGCATAGTGACCCTTCACAACACACAATCCTCTCCAATTCAGATGGAAATCCAGTCTCCAGAGCCTGTTCAGGACTTGTCACCTGTGCTCAGGCCATCACTGAGGGAACCAGATAGCATTATGCTGTTTGTTTCATTGCTACTGATCTTTCATACCAAAACACAACCCATAAAGCCCACAAAAGCAAAATATCTTTTGCTGATTTAAGCAAAATAAATCTGACTGCAGAAGTGAAAGACTACCCAACCCTAAACTGCTTCAGTTCCATGGCTTCATGCCGTTGACAGAAAAAGGGCTGTACTGCACTTACTTTATGCTCCAACACATAGATTTTCCAAAGGTTTCTACTCACTAGCTAAATTATGCTCACAGAGAGGAAGATCTCAGTGGCCAACCTGCAGATGCTGACAGCCATGAAATGAAGGACAGTGAGGAATCATTGGCCAAGGTGGAAAAACAGGCTTTAGGTTCCAGACAGAACTTACTCATCAGACACTTCAATAGAGGATTTCTTGCAGCCCGATTTTTTTTTCTCCTTTAGCACTCCAGATTTCCTTCCCAACCTCACCAACATCAGAATGACCACAATGATGGAAGGGAGAAATACTAAAATGGACAGCAGCACCGCTGAAGTCAGCTGGAAGGAAAAGCCTGCGGGATGGACAAAGAACAGAGCAGCTGTAACAGTAGTGAAATTCTGCTTTCTGAAGTCTCTGAGAAAAACATTCACCCAGGAAGGACTGACAGCCTTTTCATACACAGCCCAGGGCTGGTAAATTTGAAACAACTTGTCTTGGAATCTGTAGGACCCTTATTACCTATCCAGCACAGGAGGATGGTTTTTTTTATATGCAAAAAACTCCAAAGGTGGGCAGATGATGACATAGCTT